CTTTGCAAAAGCAGGTAAGTTTAATGACCAACTGCAAAGAAATAACCTATAGCTGGCCACCTCCAGACCGCTGCTGACATCCCCCTTTGTTCTTCCCCCAGAAAATCAAATCCAAACATGGCTGGAAAACCATACAGGTTTTGTCCAATGGTTTCATACCATCTTGTCCAATGCTCTTGCCATACAGCCATGTGGACACCAGTGGCATTTTGAGAAGTTACCAGTACCAGAGCAAGACCAGCTTCCTCACCTCGTGCTGAGAGCTTTGAGCTGTGATCCATAGGGTTGGACCCATAGGTTGGTCCTCACAAGCAGGACAAGCAGCAGAAACCAACCCAAGGGTCTAGAGAAGACCCTGCAGAAAGTGGGGCTATATGTAACGGAGTTATAGGAAGGACAAGAAGGCGGCTAATGACTTACATTCATTAACAACCTGAATCGCAAGTACAGACAACCCTATTAAATGTGCAGGTGACACAAGCTGGGAGAAGCAAGTGCTTTGGAGGCTAAGACTAGAATTAAGAAAGTTCTTGACAAATTGGTGGAAATCGGGTGCAGTTCAATATGGACAAGCTCTCAACTGCATTTCGGCATTATCAACTGTAAACTTCTAGCTATAAATGATCAATTATCAACTGGTTGGGTATCTGTTCTGCAGAAAAGGATCTGGTGTTTTGGAGCGTCATAAACTGAAGAGAAATAAACAATGTCATGCACTTGTGAAAAAGGCACCCCAGGCCAGCAAAAAGCGATTGTCCTCTGCAAGACACATGAAGTAATCCTTCCGCTCTGCACAGCGCTGATAAAGCCTCCACTCACATGCCCTGTGTCCAGCTCCGATATTGCACTTAAAAAAGCCATGGAGCAGATGAAGAGAAGCCGGTACACAGCAAAGGATACTACGAGAGCCTAAAATGTACCAGTGAGGACACAAGTTAAAGGAAGACTTGTGCAGAAATGTAACATGTTAAGGCTTTCACATGCTCTCAAAGTCCATTGAGCTGGGACTAGAAGATAATGACAAGTAAAATTCAGGCCAGGTATCCGCGAAAGCTTTCAGTGTTGGCTATGGAGGCAGTGGAGCAGGCACCCTAGGACTGAAACTCTTGTCACTGAGCATCTATAGACAAACAGCAACCAGGAATGACACTCGTAATCAAATCCTGCCATCAGGCATAGAGATAAATTAGGTGACCTCCTGAGGTCTGGCCAGCCCATATGTCTCGGAATAAACAGCTAATTACTGGGCAGAGACATCTACATCAAAATATTTCTGTAGAAAAGAGATAATTTCTAGAGTTGAAGCAAGTATTTAATAAAAAACAGT